GGGCCAGGTGGGAGAGGAGGGAGAGGTGGAGCGACTGGAGCGAGGCGAGGAGGGCCGGGGCGGGGAGGCCGGTGGGGAGGGGGAGGGGGTAGACGGCGTAGAAGAGCGTGTCGTCCGGCGGCCGGCGGCGAGGGAACGGGAAAGGGTTGGAGGCGGCGGCGGCGGCGGCGGCCATGGGGACTTGGGTAGCGGTGGCGGTGGCGCTGATGGCCGCGGGGAGTTCTCTCTTCCGGAGCTTAGAAGGGCCTCTCTGGTTCGGCGGTGCGCGAGAAGGCGCTAAATGGGTTTGGTGATGGCCGACTTCGGCGGTGCGAGAAGGCCCGAATGGGACAATCGGCCCATCGACATCGGCGACTACCTGCACCACCGAACTGTTGTTCGGGCGCGCCTATGTCTCGCGTTCAGCGAGTCGTTTTACTTTCTGTTTTTTTTCATGTTTTTATTTCGTTTCTTGATTCCATTTTTTCCTTTTGTTTACACTTTTAAATCTAAACATATACATTACAAATTTACATAGTGTTTTGAAAAATGATAATCATGCATTTGACAAATGTTGAATGTGTATAGCAAAAATTGATCATGTATAAGAAAAAATGATGAAATATTTCGATCATGTAAACAAAAATATTGATCGCTCATTTGAAAAAAATTTGAACAAGTATTTCACAAATGTTAACCAAGCATTGGGAAATGTTAAATGTGTATAGAAAAATGTTGACCATGCACTAAAAAAGGATCATTGTATGTAAAAATGGTAATCAAGCATTTCAAAAGATGTTGAACAGGATTTAAAAAATGTTAATGAAGCATTTGGAAAATGTTAAATGTGTATAGAAAAAATGTTGACCATCCATTCAAAAGATTGTTAGTCTTGCATTTCAAAAAAAGTTGATAAAGCATTTGAATATTGCTAAAAGTGCATAGAAATAATGTTGACCATATAATAGAAAAAGATTGATCTTGTATTTGAAAAATGTTAATGACGCATTTGAAAAATGTTTAAAGTTTGAACAAGAAAAATGTTGATTATGCATTCAAAAAATGTTAATCTCGTATTTAAAAATGTAAAAATGTGTATAGAAAAAATGTTAACTATGTACTAAAAATGTTAAATTTGTATTGGATAAATGTTGAACATGTATTAGAAAATTGTTGTTGACATATACAAAAAATGTAGAATAAAAAACAAAAGAAACAAAGCAAAACCAAAAAATGAAAAAGTATAAAAACGAAGAATAAAAGAAAGAAAATGAGAAAGAACATAAAAACGATAAAAAACATGAAAAAACAAAGAGTAACCAAAATAAAAGCAAAATAAAAAAACGAAGTATAATGACCAAAAAAGAAAACTAGAGAAAAACAAGAAAACCAACAAAGAACAAAAGAAACAAAAAAAAGAAAAAATGGAGAAATAAAAAAAACTCCGGTCTTTTACCTCAAGTAGGGTGCGCCTCCTATGTAAACATGGAGTCAACAGTGGCGTAGTGGCTAGCGGTTATACGCAGTATCAAAACGACCCGTGTTTGAATCCCCTCACGCCCTCATTTCCTTCCTACTTTTTCTATTTCGACTATGCGCTAATGGGCAGACCCGATTAGTCGAGATGCTTCAGCGACAGAACCATCGGTCTCGTTGAATGCGAGATATAGCGCTCGCGCTGTTGTTATCCAAAAAAAAAAGAATAGCACCAAACTGTTCGCTGTTGGTTTTTGTGTAGCGCACAACATAATGAAATTCGATGAAATTACTGTAAAAAACTCGGGCTGATTGTGTGTGTCGGATAGGATGGTAAGGCCATCATGTTAAAAAGGGATGAGCACAATAGAAGGATTGCACATAACCAAACACATATGTTTTACATTTGCTCACCCTAAAAGCACATAGGCAGGCAGGTAATCAAACAGAAGGCATACAAATGATCATCGATATGATACAGGCTATCAAACGAGGTGGAACATGGGCGAGAGCCTGTTTTTTTTAGTCGGGCTGAACCGGGCCATAAGATACATTACGCCTAGAATTAATGCAAGCAACCAAAAAAAATCCTTTAAGACTTTCTAAAGTGACGACATTTCCTAGCCAACAACACAGTACTCATCTGTAAGATTAACTAATACTCTCCGTAAGCTAGGACTTGAAGCGTTGATGTGAAATTTTTATAAGGATGTAACCCAAGAAATTCTATGAAAAGCGTAGTTGTAGCGGAAAATATAGAGAAGCCTTTAAACTTGCCCGAGGATTGCAACCCTGCAAATCAAACGAACCTTAGAAAAAGAATTAGGGGTCCAACTACTCTGAAATATCATATGAAAATTACTTTGAACCAATGGGTTCTTTGTATGCACAACACTTCTGCAATTCGGCAGAGCGTCTTGATTACTGTACAGGAGATCCAATCCCAGGCGTTGCTCATCCATCAGACGGTCCACGGAGCCTCTTCTCCTCACTGTTCGTTGCTCGCAGTCTCATCCAGTCCCCCGCAAAATTCTCCATCACTCTGCACCGCAGCTCCCTCCCGGCTCCCCTCGCCGCGCAATGGCCGCCGCGCCGGTGGCGTCCCCCTTCCCCGCGCTCCCCTCGCCCTCCTCCCCCCTCAGCACGTCAACGCGCCGTCCTCACGGCCGCGCGTTCCCGCTGGCAGCAGCCGCCGCCTCGCCGCGCGAGCAGCAGCAGCAGCAGCGAAGCGCCAGGGCCGCGGCGGGCGCGGGGGAGAGCAGGCGGCGGCGGGAGGAGGAGCAGGCCGAGGCCGAGGCGGAGGAGTTCGAGCGGCAGCGGAAGGAGGAGGTGAACCGCAAGATCGCCTCCCGGAAGGCGCTCTCCATCATCCTCCGGCGCGAGGCCACCAAGGCCGTCCTCGACAAGCGCGAGCCCGGCAAGGGCACCCGCCGCCTCCTCCCCCGCACCGTCCTCGAGGCCCTCCACGACCGTGTCGCCGCCCTCCGCTGGGAGTCCGCCCTCAAGGTACCTCCACCCCACCTCCCGCTCCACAGCTCCTCGGTCACCGCCGCGGGCTCTGTCTATCTAACCATGCCGTGCCCACTGACGCCCAGGTGTTCGAGCTAATGCGGGACCAGGTGTGGTACAGGCCGTACGTCGGGATATACATCAAGCTCATCACCATGCTCGGCAAGTGCAAGCAGCCGGGGAAGGCGCACGAGCTGTTCCAGGCCATGGTCGACGAGGGCTGCGCCCCCAACCTCGAGTCCTACACGGCCCTTGTCTCCGCGTACAGCAGGAGCGGCAGCTTCGGCAGGGCTTTCTCCTTGCTTGATCAGATGAAGGCCACCCCTGGTTGCCGGCCCGATGTCCAGACATACTCGATCCTCATCAAGTCCTGCTTGCACGCCTATGACTTCGACAAGGTGAAGGACTTGCTGGAGGATATGGCGCGTGCGGGTATCCGCCCCAACACCGTGACTTATAACACTCTCATTGATGCTCATGGGAAAGCAGGAAGGTAATCGGTGATAAGAACGTATTCTTATGATATAATCTGATAATTTAAGGTGTTATTTCCTTATATATCTATTTAATATGCCATGACAACTCTGGTAATTATCAGTGATGCACTAAAATCATCCTGAAATTTATAGTTTATGCTTAGCAGTTGCGTCGCTTCTTCAAATATCTGTTCAGAAAGAAAAATCTTCAAATATGTCCAACCTTTAGGAAAACCAAGTTTACTGTTGCCATCCAAATACATTTCCTAGTTTTCCAAATTCCTGTTTTTCCTGGTATGTTTTCCGTCACGAAGTAATAAGCTAATGAGGTTTCATCATTTGCGTTTAAGGTTTGCTGAGATGGAGTCAACTCTTCTTGAGATGTTGTCTGAAGACTGCAAGCCTGATGTGTGGACAATGAATTCTACTCTCAGAGCTTTTGGTAGCAGTGGTCAGATTGAGACAATGGAAAGCTGCTATGAGAAGTTTCAGGCATCTGGTATCTCCCCAAACATCAAGACCTACAACATTTTACTTGATTCATATGGTAAAGCCAAAATGTATGAGAAGATGGGAGCAGTGATGGAGTACATGCAGAAGTATTACTATTCTTGGACAATAGTCACATACAACGTAGTTATTGATGCATTCGGAAGGGCCGGCGATCTTGAACAGATGGAATACATCTTTAGACTGATGAAATCAGACCGTATAAAGCCTAACTGTGTTACCCTCTGTTCATTGATTAGAGCATATGGAAGGGCTGATCAAGTAAAGAAAATAGACACAGTGTTAAGAGTTGTTGAGAATTCAGACATCACGTTGGATATTGTGTTTTTCAACTGTTTGGTGGACGCGTATGGGAGGGTCGGGCGCTTGGCAGAGATGTGGGATGTTCTCAATATGATGAAGGAAGAGCAAATAAGACCAGACAAGGTAACCTGCACTACCATGATCAAATGGTTTCTCATCAAAGGGATTGATGATCATCGTGTTCAGTACCTACGTGACCTAAAAGATGGGCGATCTACAGACAATAAGTAGGTCTGAACATTAAAACAGATACTGAACTTATGGGTTCTGTTCTCTGCATTTTTCTCCAAGAAGACGGAATGACCTGCGTAAAGGCATCACTCAGTTTGCCCTTTGCAAAGAGGCATCAGTCATATTCTTCTCTTTGATGCCCTTAAGGAGAAACTCGAGTGTTACTGAATCAAACATTTGTCGGTGTCAATTCAGGGGCACAAAATTTTGTCTTAGAAGTTCAACAGCTGAAGTACAGAACTGTCGGGTAGCATATGTCGGATAGCAAAGTTGCTTATGGTTATGGCATCCAAACTGGCTTTGCGACTAAAGGGAGGTGGACAAGAGAGGAATTTGAAGCCCTCCATCAGTAGCTTTGAGTTTCGCGACAATCAAATACAACTACCAGTGGTGTGCTGGTGTCACTCTTCAGATTGTGCTGTGTCATTGTGCCTTATGTATTGCTCTTACGGCTATGCATGACATCGTATGTCCTACTGACTTACGCCAAAGATTGGAGAGAAGCTTAATATGCTAGCCAAATCAAATGTTGTAGTGTTCTACTACTTTTGAATTTTTAGGAAATGATATAGTTGATTGTTTGGTACTTCACCTAACATTGTTGACATCACTGTCCTGCAAAAAAATCTGGCACCTAACTAATGGACCGAGGAATTGTTGTAAAAGGAGATTCTATTCTATCTTGACCTGTATTCAACAAAGGCTCTAAAGTTTATGAAATGGAATATTGTGTGTGGAGCAATCTTCGTGTTTGTTTAAATTGCCGTCCGACCATTTATCGTGGCCTTTTTATTTATTTTTTGAGTGGAGGCATTATTTTTAAAGTATCAAGTAGTAAAGAGATGACCAGGGCTTGTAGCAGCTCTGAGTTAACTGTGGAGGTTCTCAGCTTTGAAAAAATCAACTCAAAGAAGCTACAAAGCTCTTCATGAATTCAGGTTTTCTGCGTCTAGTGCTATGAACTAAAACGAGTATTGGTATTCTCCATAATTTGTCAGTGGCTCGAGGCCCTCTGCCCTGTTTATTTCCTGCAGAATATTTTCACTTGCAGACATGGTGATGCTTATTGCTTGAACCAATTGCAGCTGTCCAAAATTTGTATCTCGGTATCCAGATCTTGCTGTGCTGTACAGGGACATTAATTATCCGATGCTGTTGTGATCTGTCTGGGATCTGTGCACGTGATGCGAGCAGCAAACCGATGCAAGGCCACTCGCAGTGAACAACCTGGTCAGGTTCTCTGTCTCTGCTACTGTGATATGTCTTCATCTTGATCCCAGACAGTATCATCTGTACAATGCTATCAGCCCTGAAAGCTATCTGCTCTCTGTTTTTCTTCTTCTTCTGATGTTCTCTCAACTTCGCCATTTTCAGGGGATTGCTATGTTCCAAAACCTGGTGTTTTTTTGGGGGTACTTTGGCACTGAACTGGAGCAGATTATTCTGAAAATGAACCACATTTGTGGCTGTGGCTGCTGCCTGGGGCCACCTACTGCTGCGTGAGTCTACCAAAATCTGCCAACTTACTAGAAGAATCAGTGCTGCTACTATATTTATACGCCATACAGTTGTGCCGAGCTGGGGCTTGTCGGTGGCTAAGCAGCCGTCCCGGGGCCAAACACAGCTAGGCGCTAGGCTAGCTAACCTGCGCAGGAACTGATCTGATCATTTTATATATCCAAATCATGGCACTTGGTACAGTTGGGGAAGCCCAAATATCCAATGCCCCACTGTGCCATGCCGCCACTCCGTGCGCATACCCCATGCATGAGCAGTAGAAAAATGTCAAGAAACAGATGTGTTAATGATCTACTCTTGTGGTTACTAACTAACTAAACTAGTGGCCTGCATCCTTTCAGAAAGGATCCACTTACGAAGCCACTCAAACAGATAGGATAATGTAGCTTCTTTGAGCATTTTCACTTTTTTCTAGTCCCTCTGTAAACAAATGTAAGAGCGTTTAGATCACTACTTGAGCTACCTAAATGATCTTATACTTCTTTACGGTGGGAGTACTGTGTATACCGCAAAGTGATTTTCTTTACTTGAGGCGGGCATGGGCAATGTTTGCTTCATTTGGGCGGCCTGCATCCCCCACAGGTTAGTAATAAAACTACCCAATCACTCGGTAGAAAGGATGAGATTTCCTTTCATTTCTTTCTTTTGGCTGGCTGGCAGGAGTGAAATATCTGTGGCGTTTGGCGTCGCAAATCCAGCACACATGTACGTAGTACATACTCCCTCCGTTTCAAATTACTCGTTGCAGAATTGAATATATCTAGATGCATTTTAGTTCTAGATACATCCATTTATGCGACGAGTAATTTAGAATGGCGGGAGTACGTACTACCAAACGCTTCGGGTTTCTCCAACCAAACAGCTGTGGGGTTGGACCGTTGGAGGTGCCGTTAGTGCGGGACGATTCGTCGGGTCCCTCGATCGGACCGAACACCGCGTGGAGGAGGCTGGCTGGGAATCAAGCTCCACCAGGATTGTCATGTCATGTGGCTTGTGTCAATGTGTGGGTGTGTGGTAGGCTGCAAAAGTACAAAGCTAAGTGTAGTACTCCCTCCGTCCGGAATTACTTGTCATCAAAATGAATGAAAATGCATGTATCTAGAACTAAAATACATCTAGATACATCCATTTCAATGACAAGTATTTCCGGACGGAGGGAGTACCAGAGAAAGCATATGTAGATTGTCCGACTGATACGCTTTTAAATGATTGGTTGGCCCGGCCAGCCTCCATGATTCCAAAGTTAGGACTGCTTATTGGAGGCTATAACGACCTGGACCATGCCAGCAAAGCAAGCTGCCTGGCACGCACGGGCCGCCAAACTAAAGGAGAGGGCGCCGTTTGGACGCATGGAAGAACCTCTCCCTTTACCGGCCAGTGTGGTTCCCGTGACTGGCTTCACGGACGAGGTGGGCTGGGCGGCGACTCGAACCAGCGCAGCGCAGCACGGCCGTCGCCCAAAGCAAAAGCAAAGGCGGCCAGGCCTCCGCGACGTATTCCCCGAGGCCGCCGGCATCTCATCTTTCCGTGCATGTTCGCCTTCTAGATTGCGACGAGAAACACCTGGAGCTGGGCGTTGCGACTCGTGAATCGGGCCGGTCTCGGGCCGAACGATCTTCTTGTCCCGTCGCACGTGGTTCTCTCGGCTGGAATAACTCGTGCAGCGTGTAGTGGCTGGCAAAGGACGGTTCGGCCTAACCGAAGCTCGAAATGCAGCGGACCGACCGCCTTCTCCACTCTCGCTTTGCGATGGATTCCAACCCAAACCGGTTGCGCGTGCAAAGGTTTTCTGAAAACAGTAGCGGTGCACTCGTTTTTCCCGCAAAAGTGTGGAAAATGACTCTAGATGCCCTAGCCGAAAACATGTTTGCCTTGCTCCAAAATGGCCTTATTTTTTGCATGATTTTGTTGTTATACGTATTATGTTATTCTTATAACCTTTTTTAGTTATTATGGCCTTTTATATCTATTGTTTTCCAGCGTGCAGCCCCTTTTGGGGTTACCGAGTAAGAGTGTTGTCCGCTCATTAAGAAGAATATCATTGCCTTGTTAATTGGGAAAATTGAGCGAATGCCATATATGAAATGGGCACGATGCCCCCCCCCCCAAACACACACACACACACACACACACACACCGATGCAGCATGGACAATAAAGGACATTGTCTCGTCCGGCCCTCCCCGCACCTTGCATCGAGAAACGGATTCGACATGGCCCACCCAAGGAGCGGGGTGGAGAGATTGAAATGCTTCAATGAAGCACAAAAGATATGTCTTGAGGCACTACATCACCACCCCGTTGCCGCCAAGCTGGAAGAGAAACCAACCCCGCTTTGGGATGAGTAGGATTACGCTACCCTGACTTTGCCAACGGTGGAAGCACACCTCAAGGACCCCCGCTCTGCCCTATCGACACTCCCGAGGCCAGTTCAGTCTGAGGTTGCCACCATGGCTTCTACCTAGTTGTCACGCCATGTGTAGCCTTAGCCTTCCACTGCCACCTTTCAGGGATGCAGCCTCGACGTCTAGCTAATCACACTCTATCAGCCCTAATCTCTCAGGATGATAACCCTATCACACCGTAGTACAAAAGTCGACAATCGTGTGGAGCACAACAAAGAACTGTGCCTAGTGAGGGCACAATCTTTTTCAAAAAAAAAGCATGTCATTACAAAAAGGGGTTACCTAAAGGGGTAAAAAGGAATATATATGATAGCCTGCTAGTGATTCAGACGGTCTTTGGGGACAAGTGCCTCTTGCAATTATTCCCCGATAAGGCGCCATCAATACATAAGTGGGATGTACAATCCCTTTGTTCTTCGCTTTTTAATAGTGGACCGACACCTTCTCTGTTCTCGCTTTGCAATGGATTCCAAAAAAGGTGGATGCGCATGCAAAGGGTTTCTAAAGTACGTATAATACGCACTTGTTCTTCTCACATAAAAATGAGGAGAAGGCCAAAACAATGCCCTGGCCAAACTTGTTTGCCTTGCTCCCATGCAAAATGGTCATGTTTTTGTTTTTGCATTATTTTGTTATGTGTGCACAATATATTAGTATAGCATTTTTATAACTATTATTTTCCAGCTTGGAATCCCTTTTCGGGGTTACCAACCAAGGGTGTTGTTCGTTCATTAAGAAGCATAAAAATTGCATGGTTAATTGGGAAACCGAGTGAATACCATATACGAAAGGGCACAAAGCACCACACACCCCATCGACAATAAAATGTCATTGTTGTGTCATGCCTCCCCGCACCCCTGCATCTTGCAAGCCATATTCGACATGACCCACCCTAGGAGAGGGGTGGAGACCTTGAAATGCTTCGATGAAACACAAAAGACATGTCGTGAGGCACCGCGTCATCACCTCACCAGCACCGCCTCCGCCGCCACGGAGTTGAAAGAGAAGCCAAACCCGCTATGGGATGAGCATGATTGAGCCACCCTGACTTTGTCGATGGTGGAAGCACACCTTGAGG